CTGCTCTCCCTAAACTCTGCCCTCCCTAAACTTTGCTCTCCCCAAACTCCGCTCTCCCCAAACTCCGCTCTCCCCAAACTCCGCTCTCCCCAAACTCCGCTCTCCCCAAACTCCGCTCTCCCCAAATTCTGCCCTCCCCAAACTCCGCTCTCCCCAAACTCCGCTCTCCCCAAATTCTGCCCTCCCCAAACTCCGCTCTCCCCAAACTCCGCTCTCCCCAAACTCCGCTCTCCCCAAACTCCGCTCTCCCCAAACTCCGCTCTCCCCATCCCTGCCCAGCTCTCCCAGTGCCGCCCCGGTCTCTGCCGCTCTCTCCGCGGGGGCACCTGGGCACGTACCTGTACCTGGTGCCAAAGTACTGAAAGAACACCAGGTACCGGGCCGGGGCACAGCCCATCTCTGCCGGGGGGCACCCCGGGACCCACCCCGGCACCCACCGGCCGGGCAGCACCGCCCCTTCCCCCGCTCGGCACCGCCGCTTCCGCCGCCGCCCGCGCCGGGGGGGCCGCGGGGACCGGGGTGGGAGGATGGGGCTGGAATGGGAGGATGGGGACCGGGGTGGGATGACGGGGACCGGGATGGGAGAATGGGGACCGGGATGGGAGAATGGGGACCGGGATGGGCGGGAGGGAACGGGATGGGCTCATGGGGAGCAGGATGGGATGATGGGGAGCGGCTTATGGGGACCGGGGTGGGCGGGGAGGAGCGGGATGGGAGGATGGGGAGCGGGATGGGAGGATAGGGAGCGGGATGGACGGGAGGGAGCGGGATGGGGTCATGGGGACCGTCATGGGAGGATAGGGAGCGGGATGGGCTCATGGGGAGCCGGATAGGTGGATGGGGACCGGGATGGGATGATGGGGACCGGGATGGGGTCATGGGGACCGGCATGGGCAGGGGGAGAGCGGGATGGGCTCATGGGGACTGGGATGGGGTCATGGGGAACGGTGTGGGGTGATGGAGACCGGCATGGGGTCATGGGGACCGGCATGGGTGGGGGGTGAACGGGATGGGATGATAGGGACCGGGACTGGGGACAGGCCAGTGGGGAGCAGGGGTGGAATGATGGGGACCAGGGGTGGAATGATGGGGAGCAGGGGTGGAATGACGGGGAGCAGGGATGGGCTGGTAGAGACCAGGGATCTGCTGATGGGGGCCGGGGATGTGCTGGTGGGAACACCTCACCCTCACAGGGTTTTCCTTCTACCTGGAGAAACCCAAGTGGCTGAAGGTGACCTGGGTGGTGAGCACGGGGAGCAAACCCCTCCGGAACCCTGGGATTCACCTCAGCTGCTCCTCAGCTCCTGCAGCTTAGTTGGACCAGAGAAAATAATAATTGTATTGATTTGACCTGTGAAACCCCATGAGGCCACAGGAGATCACCTTACCCCTTCTCCTGGCCTGGGAAGGGTTCTGCAGGGCTCATTGCCTTCCTGCCTTCCTCAGACCTGATAACTGTGGTTATTATCTAGAACTGATCAGCTGATAACCGTGTTAAACTATGTGACCCAGCTTTGGTTGCCTCAGCGTTTGCCATTGGAAACCACCAGAGCTTGACTCACTGTTTGTTTTTTGTCAATTCCTAACGGGATTTGATCCCTGGGGCCATTCCCAGCTCAGCATGGGGGCATCACTTACCTGTCAGTCTCCTCCCCCCCCCCAGGCAGAGGAGAATGTCAGAGAGTGAAAATGTTAAAGCAGGAATGTAACTCTCGCACAAAAAAAGTGGTTTATGGGGATGTGTCTCTGTGTCCAGCCCTGGGGCCTCTGGGATAAAGAGAACATGGAGCTGCTGGAGCAAGTCCAGAGGAGGCTACAGAGCTGCTCCAAGGGCTGGAGCTCCTCTGCTCTGGAGCCAGGCTGGGAGAGCTGGGAGGGTTCACCTGGAGAAGAGAAGGCTCCAGGGAGACCTGAGAGCCCCTTGCAGTGTCTAAAGGGGCTCCAGGAGAGCTGGAGAGGGACTTGGGACAAGGGCCTGGAGTGCAGGACAAGGGGAATGGCTTCCCACTGCCAGAGGGCAGGGATAGATGGGATATTGGGAAGTAATCCTTACCTGTGAGGGTGGGAGGCCCTGGCACAGGTTGCCCAGAGAAGCTGTGGCTGCCCCTGGATCCCTGGGAGTGTCCAAGACCAGGTTGGATGGGGCTTGGAGAACCTGAGTTCATGGAAGGTGTCCCTGCCCACGGCAGGGGGTGGGAACTGGATGATTTTTAAGGTCCCTTCCATTCCAAATCCCGCCAGCACAGGCATTTCAGGCAATCCCACATCCATGTATTTCAGCCTGCCTGTGGAAAGATGTGTTCAGGCAGCCACTGGCTGAGGGTAAATAACAGCTACGGGGACAAAAATAGGCAAAGATAATGATAATACACAAAGGCTGCAGATGTTCTTAATGACTGTGATCTGTATTTAAAAATCTTGGTCTTTCTGAAACACTGAACTGCAATGTCTGTATGTGCAGAAGCCTCAAACCAGTACAAACAAGCACCCAACTCGTTAGAAAAGCAGGGAGAGAGCAATAGGAAAATCCCCGGCCCCTCATACAAATCTGAGATCTGCTTTGAATGGAAAAATCCAACCGGCTTTCAACCCACACAATGGCATCCAGACTCCATTATAATGAAAGTGATGAATCTCAGCTTTAAAGGGGACGGTAATTTCTAATCCCTGAGCCTGGGCACACTCACACACACGCGGGCGGGAGCAGCCGCCCGCTTTCATCTCTGCTGGGAGCACCAAAGGAAATAATCACTGCATTGGGTTGACCTTTATGAAACCACATAAAACAGAGGCCACAAGAGGTCACCTTGCCCCTTCTGGACCGAGGTGTTTGGCAGGGCTAATTCCTTTGCCTGCATTCCTCAGAACCCTCCAGCATCTGATAAGTGTGTGAAGTGACTCACTTTTGCTCACACAAAGGTGCTCCTGGCTGTGGCTGACAAACCCAGCAGGTCTGAGAACCCAGGCAGAAACAAGGGGGCTGGAGGAGAACCTTGGCTGTAGTTTTTGTACAGGAATGACATTAGACATCTCATTTCACCTGATTCCATCATGGTTCTGAGGTGAGGCCTCCTCGTGACGTCCTGTCAAGGATTCAGACACCCCTGGCCCTCACGTTTGACTCGTGGTCATATTACACAGGATTTTCTTAAAACATGGAGATTTACACTTCAGGCCCTTCTCTCAGTTCCTGTAGAAGTTCATCTCTCAGTTCCTACAGAATTTCCTCTCTCAGTTCCCATAAAACTTGCAGTGAATGAGGTGGTTCACACTGTTGTGTCTGTGGTGCTGGGTGGGGGGAGGCTCAGGACTAAGCCCACACTAATTAGCCTCATTTATCCACACCACATTACGGTGCTTCTCCTGTGGCAAACATGATCTGTTCAGCTGGACCCCCAAGCCCAGATGTTTTCCCTCCTTGGGTGATTATGTTGGCTTCAAAGGAGACACTGCAGATTTATCACATGGCTGATGGCAGCAGCAAATCCACTGTGTATAGAAAATTAAAAACTAGATTAAGTAGTAACAGGATTGATGTCAATCCTTTTGCTGCTGCTGATATAGAATTGCACAGTTTGGTTGGTTGGGTGTTTTTTTTTTTTTCTCCAGTGCACACAACCTGTGGCAATCCTACCTGCAAATCATGGAATGTTTGGGGTTGGAAGGGAGATTAGTCCAACCCCTGCCATGGGCAAGGACACCTTCCACTAGATGAGGTTGCTCAGAGCTTTGTCCAGTCTGACCTTGGATGTTTCCAGGGATGGGGCACCCCATCCCAGTGGTTTTAACACCCTCATTGTAAAAAATTCCTTCCTGACATGCCTGGCTGCCCCTCCAGCTCATCACAGCCCAGGCTGGTGTCCAAGGTGGTGGTTGCTGTCACAGCCAGCTCAGCCCTGAGCCATGTCCTGAGTGTCATCTGAGCACCCATCCTCACCCAAACAGAGGAGAAACAGGCACAACTTCCTTCCCAAAAGGGGTGATAACATATTGGAATGGGCTGCCCAGGGAGGTGGTGGAATCGCCATCCCTGGAGGTGTTTAAGGAAAGGCTGGATGTGGCACTGAGTGCCATGATCAGGTTGATAATGGTGGTGTGGGGTCATAGTTTGGACTCGATCTCACTTTAAAAAGGACGTTGAAATGCTGGAGGTTGTCCAGTGAAGGGCAACAAGGCCATCAAAGGTCTTATGAGGAACAGCTGAGGGATCTGGGTTTGTTTAGGATCCAGAAGATGAGACTCAGGTGGGACCTCACTGAAAGGACATTGTATGGAAGAGGGGTCTGCTTTCCTACCGTGCTGGCACTGAGAGGAAGGACTAGAGGAAATGACCTTGAGATGAGATGGTGGAGATTCAGATTAGATATTTAAAAAAATGTTTCACTGTGAGGGTACTCAGGCACTGGAGTAGGTCTCTCTGGGAAGTGGTGGAGTCACCACCCCTGGAGGTGTTCAAGATGAGACAGGGGAGAGCCAGATCAGACATTAGAAAAAATTTTTCACTTTGAGGGTGGTCGGGCGTTGGAATAAAAAGGTGAAAAAAGAAGGGTGGTCAGGCATCGGAATAAAAAGGTGGAAAAAGAAGGGTGGTCAGGCATCGGAATAAAAAGGTGGAAAAAGAAGGGTGGTCAGGCTGCCCCGGGAGGTGGTGGAGTCCCCATCCCCGGAGGTGTCCCAGAGCCATCCGGATCTGGTGCTGGGCGCTGCGGTCACAGCGGGCGACAGTTGGACTTGATCCTAAACCCCTCTCCCAGCCGTGATGTTTTCATGATCCTGTGACCTCAGAGGTCGTTCGCACCCTAATTGACTCGGTCACTGCGAGCGAAGGTGGTGCCTCCCACCCACCCCCCCACCTGAGCGCGGTGCCGGGCAGGGGATGCCGGGCAGGGGATGCCCGGCGGGGCGGTGACCGCGCTCGGTCCCGGCGCGGTGCGTGGCCGGCGGTGGCCGCGGTGCCCCGGTGCGGTGGGAGGGAGGCGGGTGCCGGGCTCGCTCCATCCCCGCAGCGGCGGCGGGGGGCGGGCGCTGCCCGCGCGTCCTCGGCTCCAGAGCGGCGGGCGATGCGCTTCCTCCGCTGAGCGCGCCCAGGGCCGACCGGCAGCATGACGGTGGAGTTCGAGGAGTGCATCAAGGACTCGCCCCGGTTCCGGTAAGAGCAAAGCAGCCGGGGCGGCCCCGGGAATGGTTTCGGGCGGCTTGGCTCGGAGAGGGAGACGGAGACGGGCAGGGCCCTTCCCCCGGCTCCGCGCTGCGCGGGGCCGCGCCCGGGCTGCGGAGGGGAGAGAGGGGAGACGGCCCCGCACCCGCGGAGCCGCCGAGGGGATGGAGATGGGGCCCAACCGGGACAGCGGGCGTTGTCCCTCCGTGCCCAGCATGCCCTCCTCCCGTGCCCCGCATCCCTGCAGTGCCCCTCATTCAACCCCGCATCCCCCCCATGCGCCTCATTCTGTCCCCTATACCTCCCTTCCGTGCCCCGCATCCCCTCCGTGCCCCTCATTCTACCCCGCATCCCTGCCCTGCCCCTCATTCTATCCCGCATCCCCCCCTCCCGTGCCTCTCATTCTACCCTGCATTCCCCCCCTCCCAGGCCCCTCATTTCCCCCGTGCCCCTCATTCTACCCCGCATCCCCCCCTTCCGTGCCCCTCATTCTGCCCCGCATCCCTCCCGTGCCCCGCATCCTACCCCGCGTCTCTCCCGCTCCCGTGCCCCGCATCGCCCCCCGCATCCCGCCCTCCCTCCCCGCCGCTCTGTCCCGCTCTGTCCCGCTCTGTCCGGGCGCTTAGCGCGTGAAAAAAAAAAAAAAAAATTAAAAAATTAGGAATTCCGGGATCCGGGCAGGCAGCGCCGGATCCCGTTGGGATTGGGACGGGGCGGACGGGGCATCATCACCCCGCGGGGCTCAGCCGGACAGAGCCGATTGGAACCGCCCGCAGAGCCGGGGCTCAGAGGAATACAGTCATTTTCCATGCAGTCACATTCCCATCTCTTGGAGGGTGGATTTTTTTTTTTTTTTAATTTTTTTTTTTAGCGGTCTTGAAGGAATCTGGGCTATGACAACAAAGACTCCGGCTCGGCTGCGCTGCATTCAAATCAGGCCGCCCGAGCAATGCCCGGGGCTGCGGGAGCCGCCACGCTCCGGGGGCAGATGCTCCATTGTGCCAGGAGCATCCCGGCTGCGTGTCCGGATGGGCTCCGATGTCCCGGCGCTATAAAGGGAATATCAGAGCTTCCACTGGGAACAATCTCCTGCCGCTTTCAATGCTGTGTCTGGATGGGGAGCGAGGGAAATACAGACAATAGCCTGCAGGAGCGAGCTGGCCGTGTGTGCAGGGGAAAGAGTTGTCGGGAAGGGGGGGGGGTGTCTCTCTCCTTCCTGCAGACATTTCGTGTTCCTCCTTCTCAAAACCTTTCTGTTTAATGAGTGAAACAGTTTGCATTTGGCTTTTAAGTGCGTTTACAAAGCTTCCCTTGGAACGCAGGCTGCATCCCAAAGGCTGCAGTGGTCTGTGGCTGCGGGTTCTCTGACAAATTGTCATTTTGTGTGCGGTTGTGGTGCAGCTGCAGGTAACACAAACACCTGGGCAAGTGCACCCTCTTTATTCCTGCGTGTGGGAATGTGCAGGGCTGCGGGAAGGGTCCTCCACGTGTTTTAATTTTAATTGTGTGGTGAGAGTCTGCTCTGTCTTGTTCCAAAGCTGTTTCTAAAAGGTAATGGGCAGTGTCATGTGAGATGACAGGCTGGTCTTAACCCCGCGTGGGGTTGGAATCATGGGAGTTTTTCAACAGGAAAAGGTTAAAGGCATGGACAGGTTGGCAGAAGGTAGAGAGCTCCTGCTTTAATCCCTTGCTCACTTAGCATCAATTAGAATTGATCCTCCCCCTTTTTTTTTTCCTCTTTTTGACTGTCATTTCGTCCCATTGTGCTGCAGAGCATGTGAACTTGCTCGGTGGCTTCCTTCCAGAGCTGTGACTTCACTGGCCAGATGTCTCGTTCCACATGGCAGTGACCCTTTTCCTGGTGACGTCAAGATTGATTGATATGTTTATTTATTTATTTTGCCTTTGCTGTGTGTGTGTGTGTCTGTGTGTGTGTGTGTGGGCTCCGGGCCAAGTTTCTTAGTATGCAGGCAACATCATTCTGCTCTGTCTGCTCCATCCATAAAAACAAAACAGCTCTCAGAGCACTGGGCTGGACCTTTATCAAAAGGCAGTTATTTAAGCATGGAATTATGAACTATTTCCCAAATGGCCAGACACAGTCTGCCTGTTACAGAGAGAACAAGAGATTAGGCTGGAGGAATAAGGCTGGATATTTCAAGAGGGCTGAAATATATGGAGCAGGGGAATATTTAAACTGTGAACACCTTAAGCAGTGAGAAATCCTGACTTCAGCAGGGCTAGGGGAGGAAAAAAAAAAAAGAACCAAATAGAATTTCTCAAAGGTACAGGTTTTAGCCTCCTCTTGTACTTTTCTTCTTTCCAAATCTTTAATTAGTTCTTCTGTTAGAATTATTGGTTGGTAATACAAGAGAATCCTTGGGGGGGTGTAAGGGGCAGAGATGCTTGCTAACATGTCCCTAAAATTTTACAACTATAAAAATGTAAAATACAGATATATATATATATATAAATATAGATTAAAAAGTGGTGATGGAAGGTAGCACATAATCCACTTTCTCAACAGAGGCTGAGACAGCAAGAGCTGAAGTCCCTTTCCATAGGAAACATTGTGAAAGAGGGAAAATTTAATCCAGGTTTCCCATGCCAGTCCTTTAGGTAGGAATTACCCTCCCTCTCCTGCTGGCACCCACAGAACCTCTCTGCACTTCCCAGCAAAAGGTTGTGCTGTGTTTTACAGCTGGTTTGTTCTCCTCAATCGTGAGCCTTTAAGATGATCAAAAATTGTCTTCTGTGTGTCAGACACAGGGAGGGCAGAAAGCTCCAAAAAAACGACACAGGCATAAACAAACACTGGATTGAACATCCCATAATAAGGCTACCAAACTGGTCTGCTTTAGCACACAACTACATGCCAAAATGCTCCAAATCAATACTAAGAACACACTCAGTCCCTCAGTGCTTCCAACTTCAGAGAGACAACGAAAACTTGTATTTTCTTTTAAATTTCGTACACTTGAATATTGTCCAACCTTCAGATGGGCAGATAAGGCTGATTTCTGCAAGACATCTTGTAGAGACGTGCATTCAGTTCCAGTAAACAAGGATAATTACCTTGAAGGACCTGTTCTTGCACATTTGAATGCAACCCCAATAGATATTGTGGCTTTTCATCTCCCTGCCCTGTTTAACTGGGAGGAGGCTGGGAAATCTAGGAACACCTTCCTGGCTTGTTCCACTCGCCCCTGGAAGCTGGTGGTCTGGGGTGATGCACAGGAGGAGCCAGGGCTGCCCTAACCCTTGGAGATCTTTAGGGGACAGTACCAGATGAGTCAGTTGGGTTCCTTTGGGCGTTGGAACGAGATGATCTTTAAGGTCCCTTCCAACCCAAAACCATTCTGTGATTCATTCTTGCAAAAAGGAAGCCCAGAGAAGCTGTGGCTGCCCCTGGATCCCTGGAAGTGCCCAAGGCCGGGTTGGAGGGGGCTTGGAGCAACCTGGGCTAGTGGAAGGTGTCCCTGCCCGTGGCAGGGGGTGGGATGAGATGATCTTTAAGGTCCCTTCCCACCCAAACCGTTCTGTGATTCTGTGCCACTGTTACTCACTCGGGGTGTAAATGCACTCCAGGAACACTCAGGAGGGTGAGGGAAGAGCAGGAACAAATTGCAGAGGCTGGGCCTGGCTGCAGCCCTCTGGGGGCCACAGAAAACCCCAAATGCCTCTGTGGTGACTCCCCCAAGGGCAGGAGATGCGTGGTTATTTCCATAACTAACATTGCTGGTGTCGTCGTTGTCGCTCTTAATGAACCTGATTAATCAGCTTGTTGTGAGGTCGGGGTTCCCTGTGTCCACGGGGTGAGCCAGGGCTGGCCTGCCCTGACTGTAGCACAGTGACTCAGGTGCTGGAACCTTCTCACCAGGAGCCCTTACAGCCACCACAACCTACAGGAACGGACAATTAACAGCATCTCTCCATGGACATCCCAGCTCCAGGTCACTGGGGGGGGAACCCCCTGTGCTGCTCAACCTGGAATTGAGGTTCCCCAAGCCCAGCTTCACCTCCCCCATGCCTTGCAGCCTCTTGTCTGGTGGCTCAGACACTCCCAGGGCTTCCTGGAGCAGTGCTGTCGTCAGGCAGGGATGCAGGGACATGGGCAGAGACCTTTGTTCTGGCACTGTGCAGCACCATCTGCACCTTGTTGTGGCTCTCATTAGGCAGGGAAAGGTGCAGGGGTGTAATTCCAGCTCCATGAAAGGTGCAAGAAAAGAAAAAGCCGCTCGCCAGAGGAAAGGAAAGTGGAAAAACGAGTACATTTAGAAAACAATCTTCGAACTCTGACTGGGGCGTTTCAAACAGAACGGGAGGAATTAAAACCCCCAGTCGAACTGATCTCGCTGAGTCTGATAACAGAGGGGAATTAGACAAGTTCAAAGCCAGCAGAACCAGTTTGGATGCACCCAGGCCAGGTGAAGGTGTGTTAGCAAAGGCCTGCCCAGAGAAAACTCGAGTGGCTCCCGCACGATCTGTGCCGGCCGACCCTGCCAGTTCGAGGTGAGCCAAACTTGCCAGCTCGTTAGTTCAGAGCAAATTGAGATCACACACGGGGTGGCCAAAAGGAACTCAAAAAAAAATCAGTTTAACCACAGAGAGCACAGGCATCGATTTGGAATGGGTTTTTGTTACACAAGGCTTATGTAAGCAGGATCCCCGAGCCCCGGTGGCAGTCGCACGACGCCCACACAGAGCTGCTGCTTCTTGGATCTCACACTAACGAGCCCAGTTGCCAGCACTTGCTGCTTCAGCTGCACGAGAGAGAAGATACCATCATAAAAGCAGATTGATATCATCTGTGTCAATCCTACTGCGTTTATTTCTTATCTCTCCATCGTTGCGCTCCCGAAGTCAAAGGGAGGCGTGGAAAGGGAAAAATCAAAGCAAGAATGTCACCGTGGAGTTAATTCCTCTCACAGCACCCTGAGATGCTCTCCCAGTTGCAGTTGTCCATCCTGTCCATCCAGCCCCTGAATATC